CCTTCTTGATGCACAGTTCTTCTTGTACGTATGTGAACGTCTGGAGACATCCCAGCTTACCAAAGAGTCGAACAGTTGATCTTTTGGCTATCAGCTGAACATTCAACCCTTGTGCCAGCAGGGCTCCATGCAATATACGTAGACTTGTTAAATTTATTTTCATCCGAGAGAATTTGAAACATATGCTTTACAATCATTATTATGGAGATATTCCTTGATAAATAAAATTTGAAATGCTAAAAAATGCAGTAGTTTTTCTGAGGGAGCAAAAATAGCCTATGTGCTTCCAAATAGACAAGAAACAGTATAAATATGCTACACTGAATTGTTTTGTGTGTCAAATCTTCACCAGTTTCCCCTTATTCATAAAGTCCCATCTTCTTACTGAAAAAATGAATTAAAAAGCAATTTCCATGTTATTTTGAAATCATCCTGGTATAGACACACACTTTATTTATTAATATGCCACCTTACTCTCAGGGAAATCTTTCTTTGATAGATGGGTATTTGCAAGTTTCATTATCTTTTATATTTCACTTAAGCTTGCCTCATTTTTCTTTTTTCGTAGTACTTAGTTAAATTTGCTAAGTTTAATACTTTATTTTGACTTTAGCTTTATCTTTGCAAGTCTTAGGTTGGAGAATTTGTGTGACTAAATAAATTACAGCATAAATAAAACTATTTTAATATTAAAGGCTAATGTTTATTGATTATTTATAATGTACTCTCTCAATAATATAATATAATATCTTTACAATTTTACATCTGTGAAGAAAATTTAATTATCATTCAAGCTGAAACAATAGATATCACAATAAACATAGAAAGATGGAAGTTATCAAGGATTTCATTTAACTTGAGTCCACATGGAAATAAAATAACAGATTGTACATTCATTTGGCAAATCTGTGGCAAAAGAGATATCAATTGGCAGACTGGCTGTTGTTTACCTGTGTCGTGGTATTTTCCATAGTGTTATACATTTGTGAAAGTGGACAATGAATACAGAACACCAAAGAGGAAGAATTGGCTGGAGTTCTGGCGTTGGTAAGGAATGTTCAAAGTATCAAGCACTTCCAGAAGAACAAACACATTTTTCTTGGAGGAAGTACAGCCAGAATGCTCCGTAGAAGCAACAATGGCAAGACTTCATCTTAATTGTTTTGTATTTGTGGTTAGGGAGGCCATTTCTCAGCAAAGGGACTATTGTGGTTGGTAAAATAGAGAGGCAACAACAACCAGGAAGACCCTTGTACTGGACTCACACGGTAGCTATAACACTGGGCTCAAACATAACTCATTGTCTGGATGGTACAGGACCAGATGGTGTTTTACTTTGGTTTACATTGGATTGGAACCAACTGACTGGCACCCAATAACAACAGTTTAGTAATGAAATAATGACTAAAGAATTAAGGAATCATACCTGTCCATGTGAGAAAGCAAAGTTCCTATTTCAGTAAAGATTTACCATCTCAGAAATCCACAGGGACAGGTCTTCTCGGGCTTCCGGGGTTGAGATGAGGCATCATCTCGTCGACGGGAATGAGAAGTATGAGCCACAATTGACTTGATAACACTGAGTTCCATGGTGGTGGTGTAGCCCAGATCTACATGAACCTGTCACGGAAACTTACTCAAGATCACAGGACCCACTGCGGGAGAGGTAGTACTTACACCAAAGTCTATCGAATACAGGCAACTACCACACAGTTTCCTAATAGAGAATAGAGCACAGTTGGGTCAGGCTACTGTAGCGCTTCAGGTACAGTGGATATTAGCAGATTCACTAAATTATTACTGATGTGATATGTAAGAACACGCTCTACTCACACCTGGCCCCTAGTTACGTGCGTGAGGGGTCTCCAAAAATATCATGGGCAAAGAGAATGAAAAGATAATGCACTTTGTCCGTGGACTTTTAAAAAGTCTCTCATATGTGATTTGAGGGCTCCTTTTTCCTGTATTTAAACTAATATCCATGTGGCATGGCATCTAACTGGCACCCTCTTGAACATAGAGAGGAAGAACCTGGCCCAGCCAGTCAGTACGGAATGGATTAGAGAGCTAAAACAACTAGGAGTAGACATTTCATAGGATTCAGTAACCCCTCTCCTGGGTATGTTTCCTAAAGAAGTAAGACTCACACACCAACAGACATGGGCATTCCTATGCTCGGTGCAGCACTGTTAACAAAAGCAAGAAGATGGAAACAATGGAAATGCCCATCAGGAGGAGGCTAAAGAAACACTGGCACAGGCATACAATGGAGTAGTATGTACCACTGTCAAAAAATGACAAAGCATCTCATGATATGGATAGACCTATAGATTATTATGCAGAGTGTAATTAGTTGATCAAGAAAGGAAAAACACTATATGATACCACTGATATCGGTAAACAAGAACAACAAAAAATAAGATAAAGACTTTCCTATGAAAAGGAACGGGTCCTGGAGATTGCAGGGGCAGCAGGACAAGGGAAGAAGGCAGGTCAAGGGTAAACTAGTGTGACATTTGGTTAGCAGGTTAAATGATTGAATTCAAAGTTGATGACCTAAAATGTCCACCCCCACATGCTCTCAGTGGAAACTGTTAAAAATACGGACATTGGGAAGAAAGAGCAGGAAACTCTGGATCTCAACTGTGTCTTGATCTAAATGAGAAAAATGAACATTATTTTTTTCTTGTGAAACTCTCTGTGGTTAGGATAGTGTGTTTGAACAGTACTCGGCACTTCCTTAGTTCTGTTCTCCCTCAAGTCTATACTAACTGAGAGTAGTAGAAGTAGAATCCTAGAAGAAGAATCACCCTATGAGGTTTAGCAGGCTGTGTTTTATAGGGAAATCAACTGCTACACCTCTTTACTGCAGAATGATTGGTGGGTTTGAACAACTGCCCTTTCTGTTAGCAGCCAAGTTCTTGGACACTGGCACTCCCATTGCACTTCTTCAGAGCGTAGTTATTCCAGTGGCGAGTTTACAGAACATAATTACATATATAAAGCATGATTTCTGCTTTAGCGTGGAAAATAGTGAAAGCCCCACTTAGGAATTATTAAACATCGGATCTTCGACAACAGCAAGTTACTTTGGTCCCCTAATTCACCATTTATATTCTTGATTTTTGACTTACCTTATAATTTGCTTCTTATAATATAATTTTAAAGTTGAATAGCACTTCAGGCTGGGTGTAACCATTTTAAGCAAGAAATTGAAATACCATAGTATATAGGCCATCTTTATCATATGAAAGAGCATACTTGGTTCCTTATTTGAATCTAGATATGTTGCATATTCATATGTTGAGTAACCAAGTATGGGTAAAATTACAATCATCCTTTAATAGATATCAAGGAAGATCATTTTCACAGAAGAATTTTAAAGTATATAGTCAACTATTTTCATCAAATTCATTTTCTTCAATACCCCCTGGCCTTCTAAAAGTTTTACATAGGTAGCCGCGGATATATGTTATGGTTTCTATGTTTCCAATAACCTAAGAATATTCTTCTCTATCCAAAAATGAATGTCATGTCTTGTCCTCATTTATAAAGAGGACAAGGCAGCAAGTCAAGTGACTTGCTTAACTTATTTAGATAATTAGGAACATGTTCTTTTTAAATGAGAGATCTTAAAATAATTTAGAAGCAGAGTGTACCTCTCTTTGGAGTGCGGCTGGACCGGGACGAAAAATGTTTCATGTGCTGTGAAGAGACAGCTGTAGTTTGTTATTACACATTCAACCTACAAATATCTGCAGCTTAAAGCTCAGGTGTGGATGGCCTCTACCTTGTCCCACATCACAAAGGTGGTCCTTGAGCCAGTTTTCTTCATCGATGGCTCTTCATTTAATGACAAAATAAATCCCTACCTCTCTAGAATGAGCCATTGCAGCATGAGTTTTAGCATAAATAAAATTAAACTATGAATTTTCCTGTATTTGTAGAATTGAGTTGAATTATTTCTCCACTGGCAAAGATTACCATGAGATTTCATCTATTTTTAATGTGGAAAAATAATATTAATCTGCTTTTCATTTACTTTTTAAAATTATGTCATTCTATCCTAATTATATAGCAATGCAAGTGTCTTGTAGAAATTATGGAAATGAATACCAGTAATAAGAATAATAGAATGTTTGTAGTTATATTGCCTCAGATATAATCACTACTCATATTAGGTCTGATATTCCTACAGAGAACTTGCACCATATTATGTCAACAGTTTCGTATTTTGCAAATTCATTGAACGGTTTTTGTTTTTTAGTATTATACTCTGCTTTGCTTTTTAGTAAGATTCATTTAATTTTTCTGTGTGCATTTAGAGAGAATCACATATAATTGTTTTAATTTGCAGTTCTTTAATTACTAATAGACTTAAAATTATGGGCTTTTTTCCTCTCAACTTCCATTAAAATATTTTTCTAGCTAATCTTTTACATTCTATAATAATCTAAAATGAAGAATAGCCAAACACTGTGGTAACCACAACAGTGTCTTGTATCTGAGTTTCTGTTGCAGACGTTTGTTTCCATAGGCGATCTTTCACATTCAGAAATTAGATAAATGAACATCCACATTTTCTTTTCAATTTTCTGGTTTTTAAAGTATTGTAAACAGTTATCTGCCTGACTTATTTTGTCTCCATTACATGAAGAAATGATATGTTTATTTTTTAACAATGTACATATATAGAATCTGTGTACTTTCATGTGCTGTGAATACATACATGTATATTTGTGTGTATGCAAATGTACATACATGCAGAGATTCGTGTATATATGCATATGTGATTTGCAATATGTGCTTGGTTACATAGGAAAGATATTCTTTGTTACACTGTGTTTTTTCTGGTAATTTGTATATATATGTATATCGATATATTTCTTGATCTGTCAGGACTTTATTTTAATGATTACAAACTTCTACTTTGTTTTCATGTCCAGTACCCAAAATCCCTCTTCCTACTAATGACATTATTAAAACATTTTCTTCCTTAGGTTTGCCAGAACCAAATAGAGACCACATCTTCCAAGGCCTGGCCCAGGACCAGGGATTTTACACATCCAAAGACTTTTTGCCACTCGTAGCCAAGAGCAGCAAACCAGGTATAGCATCTTGTGTTCTATTCTTTTGGGTGTCTCTGTTGTTTCATGTCTTACAAATTACATTCCATTCAATCTCAGAAGGATGCTCTTCAGATCGCAGATTCACTCCTTGACTGCAAGTAAAGTAGGAAAGGACCTGTTTCCCACATCATCTCCCCAATGCTAAGCAATCACTTTCCTTTTTGATCTCTTTATAATTGTGTAAGTGCTTCATACGAGTGGAATTATATACTATTTATCTCTTTTTGGTGATTGAATTATTTCACTCAGTAGAATATTTTCCAAGTTCACACGATGGCATGTATCCAGACTGATAGGACAGATATTACATATGATTTGTGTCCATGCAGGCAGAGAGATTCAAGGTCTCTTGCTCAACTGGGACTTTGTGAACATAAAGTAAAACACCCTTGTGTTCAATCTCAGCAATAGGCGTCACTTCAGACACCCCCAGAAGAGCAACCTAGAGCCACCCCTGTGCCACACCACGGCCACTTGGCCAAAGTTGTGATCTTAGTAATGAAGCAGCAGTAACATTTCTTCAAAAACAAGCTGACTTAAATCCTTGAATTTTTATTGGTCTGCACTGCAGATATTTCAACATCTTTTTCATCATGGAAAAGATATGGCATACATTCTTCTCTCAACATTTAAAGATAAGAAACGTTGTATTAGCTCACTCAGCACAAGTTTAAACCAAAATATGGATATCATCTCTAATTATCTCCTCTCAGGAAAACTGGACGCTTTGTCCTGAAGATCATAGTGCATATAGCACACATTTTAGAATTACAAAGTGGCAGTTGTATAATCTTCAGTATAAATTCTTCCAAGCAAAATGATTGTATTTATGGAGATTATAGGACTATTCTACCCAAGGTAGCATTTCAAAAATTATAGTAATTTATCTTAAGAGTTTTATTTAATTCCATGATAGAACACTATCTAGTATATAGAGAACACCTTTATGTTATTTTTTATAAGGCTCATCATGTGGATATGAAACCTTATATAGGTGTCCTTGAGAATTGGACAATCAAAAAGTCATATTTCTTTCATTGTCTGATTTTGCAAACAAAGCCTCGGGATCCCAGTAACCTGGTCAAAGTTGTGTGTCATCTATAATAAGAAAGTGATGCTCAGCAATGCCTCAGTTATATTCACTTGCACGCTTTTAGATGCAGTTCATTATTCAATAGAGAAACTTTCAAAAGTTTACTACATGTAACAGAGCTCTGTATAGAAAATGAATAAGAAAATACGCAAAAAAAAAAAAAAAAGAATGGATTACTGTAAATCATTAACCCAGATGATAAGGATCATTTTTTTTCCTTCTGAGAAGCAGAAACTTAATGATGCTAAGTTAAAAATACCTATCACCCTGTTAACAAAGAGAGTTATAATTGATTGATTCCAATTTGTTATGACCTAAACTCTTCAGAACGCATCACCGTGATCATTCTAGAAGGAAAAAAGGAGGCAGAACTGCCAAAGGTACTGACTATGAAATTACATATATGAGCATATTTTTAAAATGGGCATAAAACTGTCTTTCAATGAAGCAGAATAATTTGATAGTGACACTCCATCCTGGAAAACTGCAAGATGCAATTTTACACTGCTTTGAGTACAAGTATCTTTTGAGCTGTCATGCAGAAATGGTTTCTCTACTTGAAAATGGGGTTTTCCTTTCATCATTCAGGAATGTGTGCCTGTCACTCTCCATTGCCATCGATACGGGGAGCCGTGATTGTTCTCGGGGCTGGAGACACTGCCTTTGACTGTGCCACTTCCGCCTTACGTTGTGGAGCCCGCCGCGTGTTCATCGTCTTCAGAAAAGGCTTTGTTAATATAAGAGCTGTCCCAGAGGAGGTAAAATGGAACCATCAGAAATATGGAGTTGTAATGCAGCACATTTCAGTAGAGAAAACTGTCAATACATCGACCCAGAGTCTAAATCGTCAGACTCCATGAAATTTGCAAATGCAAATTTTAAAAATTCATCTTTTTTTTCTAATTCAGGCACTTGAAGTAATACATATGTAGATCTATGTGTATTATATACTCATACACACACATACACATATGCTGGTTTGAATAAGATGATAAATTTATCTTTGCAAACATAACAGTGCTTCCTGTTATCAATGCTAATGTATTCTATTCAACTAGTAGCATTGTAATGCACTAAAATTTCTATTTCCTGAACAATAGGCACTTTTCTGAAAATGTATGGAGATTAGAAGAACAAGAAGTGGTAGTTAGAAACATTCAGGATTTTGCATAAGTCATGTTTACAATCTGCATTCAAAGATACAAGCCTTGATCTCACTTAAGAGTCAATTCTTCTGCTGTTGTGGAGCAAATAGAACAAGGAGATTACCTTGCACACAAGAGCTCCAATGTAGGTGCTATTCAGAATTAATAATTAGTGAACTTGCTAAAAATGGCATCAGATTTAAAATCTTTTTATTCTTATTAGTGACCAGTGACTAGCCCTGTGTGAGGCAGCAGCTGGTTACATGGACCAAGGGCACTTCAAATTGTAATGCTCTCAGAGAAGGATAATGCCTTCTAAAGAATATTAATTCTGAGAATAAGAATCAAATTGCTCATTTTATCTAATCAGTATTAAGGATTTTATTTTGCTTTAGAATGTCTGAACATATTTGCAGTCTCTTTATTAGCCAGGAAGTTTAACTCTGTAGTCAGTAGGTAATTTGTCACATGAATATTAACAGATTAATCTCAATAAAATGCTCAGAATCACCACTGGTTCGTCATCAGCTTTCCCAAAATTAACTTCATTCTTGGGGCTTTCCTTCATCTAACTTTTTCGTTTTCTTTTTCCAGAATCCAAGGTTAGATGGCTGTAATCCTAGGAGATTTTTGTTTGTTTGTTTTAGCTTCCCCTGGGAGAGTTTATTACAATCACAGCATATTACGCAAAAAAAGAAACAAATATTGTAGAGTTAAGTGACGTGTCTAATATAGTTAGTTCATAAAAGAATATATAAGCTATAGTTTGCTCATTTTATCCCCTTAAACAGTTCACTGTGCCAAAATTTACATAACATAGGGCCAGAGAACTTATAAGGACAGGTATACCTCATTTTATTGAGCTTTGCTGGCTTTATAGAAATTGCTTTTTCTCCTCATATGCAAGGTTTGTTGCAACACTGGTCCAGTTCCATTTTTCCAACAGCATGTACTCACCTTAGGTCTGTGTCGTTTTGATAATTTTCACAATATTTCACACTTTTTTATAATGCTCTCACACACTTAATAGGTTACAACAGTATGGTGTAAACATAATTTTTATGTTCATCATGAAACCAAAATCATCCATGTGATTTGCTTTATTGTCATAAGTATTTATTGAAGTGGTCTGAAATTGGACTCAAAATGTCTCTGAGACATGCCAGTACTTGAAAAAATACATTTCAAACTAACTATTTTCAATGTTATTCTTTTTACCTGCAGCAACTGAGAAAACTGTCATTACAACATTGCTCCTTCCAGTTTGAAAGGAGAGGATAAATCTGAGTGGCAATATCAACTTGCGTACAGTTTATATTACAATCACGTGGTATGAGCATTACCAAAGATATCTAGGAATGCTGTGGTGGTGGTGGTGGTGAAGTGTCATCAAGTTAGTTCCAACCTGTAGTGGCCCTGTGAAAGACAAAAAGAAACGCTGCCCAGTTCTGCAGCATCCTCACAATTGTTCCTGTGCTTGAAGCCATTGTTGCAGTCACTGTACCGATGGATCTCCTTGAGGGCCTCCCTCCTTTCCACTGCCTCTCTAGTTTATCAAGCATGTCAGATGAAGTTTTGCCAATCCGCCTCTAAGAAGCACTCTGTCCACACTTCCACGACAGCTTTGTTCTTCCTTTTGGCTGTTCATGATATTTTCATTATTCTTCGCTAGCACAATTCAAACACATCAATGCTTCTTTGGTCTTTCTTATTCAATGTCCAACTTTCACATGCATAGGAGGCAGTTGAAAATATCATGGCTTTGGCCAGACACCTCCTAGTCCTCAAAGTAACGTCTTTGCTTTTCAGCACTCTAAAGAGGTCTTGTGCCCAGATTGACCCAATGCAACACATCTTTTGCTATCTTGACTGCAACTTACATGAGTATTGATTGGGAATCCCAGTAAGACAAAATCATTGATAACTTCACTCTTTTCTACATTTATCATGATGTTACCTGTTGGTCCAGTTGTGAGGATGTTGACCTTTTTTGCATTGAGTTGTAATCCCAATAGAAGACTGCAATCTTTAATCTTCATCATTAAGTGTTTTAAATACTTCTCACTTTCAGCCAGAAAGATGCTACATTCTCTTTCATAAAATCCAACTTCTCTGATATATAAATAATAATGTCTAGGAATATATGAATATTTCTTCTGGCCTAGACAAAATATAAAAACAGTTATGCAAGTAAGACCTGATAATTACTTGAGAAGATAGATATTCATATATTTAATTATTTAAACAACTTAAATTTATTGAGCATCAATTATGTATTAACAGGCATTGTTCGAGTAATTTGTATACAGTTGTGAGTGAACAAATCATAGAAATGTCTACCCTCATGTAGCTTGAACCTAGTGTGGTAAGGCATTTGGTAAACAAGTAAATGAATCATTATTTAAATGGTACATGCTTTTAAATAATAGTGCTAAGGAGAAAAATAATTAAGGAGTATTAATAATTTCCTAGGAAAATTGCATAAAAGGGGAGAGAGATTCTTTTCTGATAATATTATTTTGAGCATACCAACTCACACTCATTCCCACTGAATGAATTGTGATTCACAGTAATCCCGTGGGACAGAGCAGCCCTGTCTGAAACTCAATCCATCAACTAACACTTTACAGCACTAGAAATCCTTATCTTTCTTCTGAAGAGTGGCTGGTCATTTTAAACAGCATATAAAGGTGTCTTAGTTTGAGCAAGGAAGTGAAGAAATTTAAGTAATGCAGATGTGTGGAAGAAGAACCTTCTCAAATAAGGCAACTATATTCAACAATGATGGAGAAAGGCTCTTGGTCTTCTAGAGACATACAAAAGGTCAGTGTGACTGGACTAGATTAAGAAAGGGCAGTGGGTGGCAGATCAGATGAGATCTTATACGCCTTCAGTAGACCTTTGTCTTCTTTTCCAAGTGGGAAAGGAAGCTGCTGGAGCAGAAAAACTGAATTCTGACTTAAATCGTGAAAGGACTACTGTGTTGAGAAAAGACTGGAATGGTTTGGGGTCAGTCAGAAACAGGGGGACTGTAGTTATTGTTACGAAGTGACTGGGGAATGGCATGGCTTCCATATCTGACCACCTCCACTACACGAGGGAAACGAGGACACTACCCTGCATCTGTCCCAGGATGCTTTCTACGGGCAGAGATCAAACACGCCTTCATCCACCACCTATCCGACACCAGCCATCCCTCCTAGGACTCTCTCCTCTGGGTGCTAGCATCCGCTGCAATGGCCACCCAGACTCACAGACAGTGCTCACCATTATGGGGTTTCTGAGGAAATTTAACATGTCAACATTGAAACACATACACACATTAAGGGTACAGTCCATTTGTCTGCAGTATCTTTACTTATTCCTGTTGGCAGATAGGGTCCTCATCCTCTCAGCCAAACAGTTGTTGGCCTGTGTCCTCTAGGGGCAAGTGTTATGAAGCTCCTGCCGTGCTGATAAATGCCCAGAGGACACTTCACTCTGCAAGCCATCCTCCCGTTAAAGGCACACAGTGTTAATCCTCCTGTGATTGAGAAGCGCACTGCTCTGCCTTATGGTCTTGCTAGCTCCACTGCTCTGTCTCATGGTCAAGGTCATAGTTTCTCAATGTTATTTGGCCTCCTTTTTAGAAAAGATATAATTCAGCTCCTCCTGTAAATTAAAACTTTTGTATTATATCCCATTGTCTAGGGGAAACATGTAGGTATCTGCTTTTACAACCCCCATGCATCATTCCAGAACCCCCAGGGGATCTTATCACTCACTTTACGAAATAATAATTTAAGTACTAAAGCTTCTAGTACCTCTGCTGCCAGTACTACTTCTTCATATACTGATCTTTCACTCACTAAACTAGTAGCTCTTCTTTCTTCATGACCATGAGATTCTTCCACATGTTTCTGAGATAGCTCAATGTATACCCAGTGAAAGGGCAAAAAGGATCAATCCTTTAGTTAGAGCCATTGTGTTAGTCTGGGTAGACTAGAGAAACAAATCCATGGACACACATATGTGCATAAGAAAGAGATTTACATACAAGAGCAATTGAACATTGAGAAAGCATCCTATCCCAATCCAGTCCAAGCCTATAAGTCTAATATTAGCCCATATGTCCGATACCAATCTATAAAGTCCTCTTCACACTCATGAAACACATGCAATGATGCTGAATGCAGGATGATCACAGGCCAGTGGGTAGAAAGTCTTTGTATCCAGTGGTGTTGTAAGCATCTCAGTGCTGTCAGGGCTTGTATCAGGGTAGGTCCATGTAGCTTCTCCAACTTAGGGCACTAGCATAGTTCCATGTGTCTTTTCACCTGCAATGTCTCCCAGGGAGTAGCAGAGGGAGAGAAATGTCTTCCTCCTCCAAGGAGGAAATCCTGGATTTCCCAGAATTCTCAGGAGAAGGCCATGCCCACACAGAGGCCTCACTGGCTATGATCTTATTGACAAGCTAGACTCCACCCCTACACTCTTAATCCTCAAATTGACAAACAATTATATATCTACCACAGCCATCTACATCATTTATGTATGGTATCACCCAGTCACTTGGTAGGTATTCAAATACTATGGATAGAGGAGCCATATTGAGTAATTTCACTTCACTGCAG